ATATATATATATATATATATATATATATATATATATATATATATATATATATATATATATAAATATAAAATAATTTAACTATTAGAATTAATCTAAAAATGCACTTAAACCTCTTTTATAAAGAAGTGTTCGGTCATCTCCTAGAATGACGGGATGGGTGTAAGGTCACATTGAACTTGAAAATAATGACCCTTCTTTGTCCATTAATGTCTACTTAGTCAGTAATAACACATCATGAATAAATAAACTATTCAAACGCAAAGACAATTGACCTTGTGTGTGCCCTTCTTCACAGCACTGCCCTGTACCAGCAGGCCCATGACAGGCCTCCTCCAAATTGAGGCAATTAGTGCAATGTGTTTTTCCATTAATCTGTGTGTCGCCACTGCGCGCTAATGACTAGACTGGGACATGGTTTAATCAGACAGGGATTCTTTCACAGTTCACATGTAGCACTCGCTGGGAAGGGCGCCACTTTGGCCTTCCACATGGAAAAAAAATCTAAATTTTATTTAAAAAAATTTTTTTCCAAAAAATAAAATTCTCCTCTAATTCATACAAGCAAAATATATAATGAATTGGGTATGAAGAGCACAGGAACACAAGCCATTAATAAACTTCTGTGTTCGTTGTGGTAGTATAGTTATTCAATGCTGATAAACAACCACCCGTGACCACACAGTTGCAACACTGCTTATCAACCATAAACACCAAAAACTCTGACAGTTATAGTAACATTCTGAGTTCAGTAAGTTAAGCTACAAACATTTATGTCAACAGAAAATTGACTCGCCTTTTGTTTTCTTTAAAAAAAAGTTACAATGAGGCACTTGCAACAGAAGTGAACAGGGCATGTATTTGTAGAAATGTCAAGCTTTTAATTTGATAAAAACGCTTGCGTTAATTCTCCTCTTAAAACTTTCAAAATCTAGTCTATGGTTGCTTCCTAACTGAGACGGATTCTTATAAGTGACTGATTTGGAGGGCTGTACATAGGTGTCTACATATCATACAAAGTGCATTGGAGAATAGATTCGTTGATCATTGGTTTCAGAGCTTGCTGTTTGCATGTTAATGCTGCCTACCTTGTGGAACAGCCTGAGCAAAACCCTGATGCTTTAAAATATTCTATGTAGACACCTGGTTTTGAAATGTAGATAATGGGTACTAAACATTTTTGCACTCGTATATAGAAAACTAAAGTTGCAGTGAGAGGCTGTTGACGTTATTGTTGATCTCCTCTTCATCACCTTGTTCTCTCAGGCTCAGCAGCACCGTACGTTTAACAGTGCAGTGCAGAAGCAGGTGACTCTGAGCTGTGCCAAACCTCTGTATGGTCTGAATGGCCGAACACCCCTCCATCACAACGGCCTGAGCACAGAGGCAGCGGATGACGAGGAGATGGATGAGGAGGTACATTCTGAGAATATTTAGCATCATCGAGCCCAAAATAAACATGAAGCACCATACTTTAGCCCTGCTTTATGAATGGCATTAACATTCAGGTCTTCTCGAAAACTTCCCGATTTCATCCTGAAATTATATTTGACAAAGAAAATTCATTTAGAATCATTATATATATATTTTTTTATAAATGCAAACATTTTCCTCTGATGCTTGTTAATAATATTTAATGAATATTTAATTAATTACAGTAGAAAGTAAAAATTAGGGCTGGGCAAGTTAACGTGTTATCACGTTAGCGCCAACAATTGTTTTATCGCGCATTAACGCAGTTTTTTTTAATTATTATTATTATTATTATTTTGAAAGCCCGTTACTCACTGGCTCTGAATTCACATACTGACAAAACATGGGTCACAGGAGGGGTGGGATGTTGATCAGTGCTGGCTTGGGATGGGCGTCATCACACATCTCAATCAATGAGAGCATTTGGGGTGGGCCTAAGACTGTAGTATCGCTCACATGAACGCTCCCGATCAAATTATTTAGGCTAAGCATCAACATTCACAAACCACTGTTAGCTGTTATTTTTAACAGAAAAGAATGCAACGTGCTCGTAGTCACAACTTCATAAGTGGGACATTTCCAATAGCTCGCTCAGCACAGTGGAGTGCATCGTTTTGCTAACTTTGTGGTTTATTATTATTTTGAGTCGTTTGGGACGCGGTAACACATGGCCCTCTCACAATATATTGCTTTACAGATCTATCACTTTTGCCGCTAAGAAATGTACATGCAATCATGCTGCACGTATCAGAAGTTCGGCGCTCCGGTGTGGTTAGCGCTCTCATTATATGCGTGCCGCGCATGAGCTCTACTGGACCGCGCTCTGGTCCACCTCTTCCAACCCGAGCCAGGGACGGCTAAACGAACCGCTCCCAAGCGCGGCATGGAGCGATCACACTAGTCAAACAAACCAGGCTTTGGAGGTCAAACGCGCTCGGGCACTGTTAAGATTGCCTAGTGTGAGTACACCCTTATTCTCCCGCATCCCGCACACGAGTCTCTACCCGCCTGCACCCGCACTCGCCCATCAAGGGTCCCGCGACTGTGCAGGTCTCTACTCGGAAGGTGCCGGTTATGGTCGAGGCTCTGGACTGTGCATAAGTTATTTTTCTATAACAAGCTATAAAATATATTCTATAAAAACGTTAATGCCCTGGCAGTGGCGAATAGCTTTGGTTTTATATTTAATTTGATTATATTAATGTTATAAGTTGAGATTTCCAAGAAATATTTTAACTGCTACTATGTAAAAGGAATACAGCTATAAAAAGCACCTTATTTGTTTAAAGTGTTTGCAAACCAAATGCTATTGCACTTTTGTTCATGTAGCAGTACTTTTAAATGAAAAAAGTGCACAATACACTACTTTTGAATGCATTATTGAAGTTTGTGCATAACAATGTGATTAATCGCAGAAAATCATGCGATTAATCGCAAGTAAACATTTGAATCGTTGCCCAGCACTAGTAAAAATACAATTAAAACCAGCATAAAAATGTGGTAAAACCGTGTAAAGGCAGTACAACAAATCCTATGATGCATAAATACTTGAATTAGACTTTTAATAATGCTCATTTGCTTAATACTTAAAATATGATATTATTAGTTATTGTATTGTATTTTATAATATAGAATATATTATTATAATTGATTTAATTATTGATAGTTATTTATATTATCTTATTATATTTATACTATGATGATTACCATTACTGTAATGAAAGTAATGTGTTTATATATATATATAGAGAGAGAGAGAGAGAGAGAATTTAAAAAGTACTTATTTGCTTATTATAACAGTATTTGATTAATTGCTTATTAATTGATTATGCTTATACCACAATATATACAAATTCGAATAATTTTTCTTGTATGACATATAATAAAACAATAATATATTTATATGCCTTAAAAATGTTTTGAAGGGATATTTTGTTGAATCTTTATATGTTGTTCAATTCAAAGATCTCTTCTGAAAACATCATAAATATAGTTGAAGCTTCACTGTTTAATCCATTGCCAGTAAAGGCACTTGGGTCAGGAAATGTTTCTTTAACTTTGTCGGTTTTCTTTTGAAGGTCTTGACGGTGCAGGATCTGGTGGATTTTTCGCCAGTCTACCGATGTCTTCACATCTACACTGTTTTGGTAATTCCCAGCATCTCTTTTACTACAAATGTGCCGTGCACACAGTGAACAACCAATATATCAACAGCCTGTCTCCATAACATGTTATGAAAGTCTGTTTGGGTTCTGCAGTAGAACTCAATATGTGTTTTATTGAGAAACATTCCTGTTGATCTGTTTCTAATAGGCCTCCAGCCTCTGAGTTGACGGTGCGTTTTCATTGAAAGGCTTTTCTCTCAAAGTGGCTCCTCGAACATTAATGGCTTATATAAGCAAAGGGATTTCCAGAGTTTTGACTGTCGTGCCATCAATATTATTTTTGCTTTAAACCAAACGCAAACTGTGGAGAGGTGAGATTGAGTTTGTTAGCGCTCGGTGCCATCGCTCATCTGGTCAGAACTAATCCCGAGTCCTTCAACACGCCAACAAAAGGGGTCAGACTGCAGCATCTAATCGGACTGACCGAGCAGTAACCCCCTTTTTGCCGTAAAAACAAAGCAGTGAAAAAGTTATTTCGCTTCGGCATTCAGATTGTGCACAAACTGCGGTGCATTCACTGGCCGTAGGATGAGTCGAGTGCTTTCCCCTCAATGGTTCAGTTAATGAGAACACAAGCGCTTTTGACCGCTGTGCTACCCGAGAGCTCACAGGTGCTGGCAAGGGCCGAGGGCCACTCTTCAGCCACACCGAGAAGAGAGAGGGGGCGCAGGTGCTTTGCATTCAGAGAGGTTGTATGTTTCCAGTTCTTTGGAAATACACTTTGCCTAAATTTCAGTCAAACCGCATATAAACGTACCTATACATACATTTCACTCCAGCTTCCAGCTGAAATGAACATTAGATGCAGCAAAACGACAACCACTTTTATTCCTTTTTACACAAATTACAATAATGAGGCAAATAATTGAATAAATAAAAGCTTCCACACAGTTCCTTGCACAATACTATATTATGACCTCAAAATACTGTTACTATAGGGATTGATGTGTACATTTTTGATATTCGCATTGCATAACCTGCTTCATATGTATGGCTTTTCGGGTTTAGTAAACTTGCTTGGTAGCCCACCTGATACAGCATTGCACTTGCGATGCGGAGACCTGGAGTATGAATCCCTTGAAACAAAATTCACGAGACACCATAAACGAGCTTAACAGAAAGTGTCGTTAAACAACAACAACAACAACTAGATTAAAAAGTTAGTCAAGACAAACTTTGAACTTAGCTTGAGAAAGCCTGACCAGAAAGTTTGAAAAAGTTTAAAAAGTTTTGTTAGGGTGTTGCTATGCGGTTACTAGGGTACCCGGGGTGGTTGCTACGTATGTGGTTGCTAGGGTACCCGGTGTGGTTGCTAAGGTGTTGCTATGCGGTTGCTAGGCTACTGTGGGTGGTTGCTAGGGTGTTGCTCAACTTAACGAGTGAAATTAAAAATGAATTGCTAAAGTCAATCAGTGATGGTACAGCTGACTGGTTTGCATTAGAAAACATTCCGTGTCTTGTGTGCCTTAACCTGAACAATTGCATGCCATGCAAGTTGAATGCTCTTGTATGAATTAAATTAAATGGATATTAATTTGTTTTTAAACACTTTAATGCCACATTCTATTTCTTTATAGGGAGACAGGGAGACGTTTGAAAATTACTATAGGAAGCAAAGAAAAAAACAAGCAAGACTAGTACTGCAGCCTCAGTCTAACATGGTTAGTATTCGTTGCTCTTTGTACAATCCCAACAGTTTGATTTGTTTTAATGTATTTTTTGTAATTGAGTGTGTTTTACTTCAGCACGAGACAGTGGAGGGCTACAGGAAGTACTTTAATCAGATTGTCGGGTAAGTTAAATCTGGATTTATTTGTGAAGTTCTTTGTGTAGTTTGGTAAAGTAATGCCAACTCCCATCATGCTTTGCAGGTTCTTTGTGGTGGAGGATCACATACTACATGCCACACAAGGCCTGGTGACTAGAGCCTTCACAGACGAACTGTGGAACATGGCCCTGTCCAAGATCATCGCAGTGCTCCGCACACACTCCGTGAGTCCTGCACACACACTTGTCCCAATCAAGCCCGAGCACTGCGGGGGATGCACTAAGGAGTCTCATGCAAAGATTTGACATCCCCCTCTCTTTCTCTCTCTGCTGTGTTCTGGCCCAAGTCTCTTTTTTGTGATTGAAAGTTAGCTAGCAGTGGGAGAGAGCAGGCTTGACCCCTTTGTTCGGGCCGCAGGACTCAGGCTGTGAGCTTCAGCCGCAGGGTATTTGCATAATCCCTCACTGATTTACAACTGACTGACCCTCCAAACACACTCTCAGCCCCAGCAGTTTAGAATATTCACAGTTAATCTGCTGTTATTGTTGCAATCTGTCCTCATTAGGCCCAACTGACCTCTCCATTAGATCAGATTGAATGGATCGCCACTGAGAGGGCTCACCAGAAAATGCTTCCAATTATCATTCCAAATGCCTTGTTTTGAAAATAAACTTCACTGAATAAAGCCCTCTTAGCTCCTGAGCTACCTGCGCTGAAAAAAAAATTGGTGTAGGATTTACTTTGAAACAATTTTCATGCAGAAATTCTAGTCAGTTTCACAAATAATTGCAGAGAAACGGCAAGGAGCATATTAAACATGGAATTTTGAAGTAGAAAGACTGAAGTAGTATTTTCTTGTAAAATGTGCTCCAGTAATCTTACATTTAAAAAATAAAATAAACTTTACAATGTGAAAGCAAACTTTTTTTTTCTTTTTTTTTTTGTCATTGTTGTCATTTTTATAGTCATTTAAATTGATTAATTCCAAGATTTCATACCGGACACCAGAAATCTCTATAAAAAGGTTTTTAAAATCTTAGTAATAATTAAAGTGTGTAACAGCTTTCAGGCTGCAATTATGCACTCACAAAAGCTATTTTCTTGTTTTCGTTTTTTTTATTAAACCAACCAAAAAATGACATATGATGTTATATGAGAATATGATGTGTGTATCATGAGGAATTGCTTGAATATATTTGTTTTCTTGATGCAACCACTATAATATTGTAGTTATCATGTTATATTTGATCATTTTTAAAGAATGCTACTGTGATTTTAACTTGTAATAATCATTATCTTCCTTGTTCATTTGCTTATGTTAAACAAGTTCCAGTTTAATTAGATTTTGTGTAATTATGTTAGTTAAATAAAAAGTAAATAAATAATACACCTAAATATGAATTATATAAATTATGAATATAATACATATTAATTATAGATATATAATTTAAAATAATGATATTTTTAAATAATTTCATTATTTAATAATTACATCACGCATAACCTTATAAATAATTTAAAGTAATGAAATTTAAATAGTATCCTATGAAAATATTGTACGTTCTTTGTTTTGTTTTAGGGGTCATATATCCACGTGTGTGTGTTTGTGTTCTCGTCCAAATGCTTGTCAATGAAGTACATCACGTCCTGAAGTGTGGAGTGACGGCGTGTGTTGGAGCCTGACCAGTGCTTATTTAACCGTGTGATTTACGCACTCACTCCCAGCGTCTGAGAGGCAGGCCACTGCGCCCTATCTAAATGTTTAACAAGAGAATCACACTAGTGCAAGGGGCTATAAATCAAATCTGCAGCTCCTGTACAACCACCCACACTATCAAACACCACCAACCTGGAAGAGACTTGTCTGGCTCATAGTTAAATGCTCTGGAGATCTTTGTGGAGGCTAAAGCTGCTGCCAGCCTTATGTTAATGTTGATAGCGGTTTCTCATAACGTAACTCACATCTGCAGTTAATCGTAAATCATTAACTAATTAAACACTCATCGATTATTGATTGAGAACTGCATTAAGTTGCCAAAACCTGGGGCGCAACATGTTTCTTTTACCATTCCAGCTCAACTTTCTATATATATATATATATATATATATATATGTGTGTAAACGATTAATCGCAATCGCATTCAAAATGAGTTTTTGTTTACATAATATATGTATATATGTGTGTGTGCTGTGTATATTTATTATGTATAGATACAAACGCATGTATATATTTAAGAAAAATATGCTTATTTAATAAATATATGTATAATATAAAATATAAGAATATAAATGTATATACGTACATGTAAATATTTTCAAAATAAATACTGTATGTGTGTGTATTTATATATACATAATAAATAAAGACAGTACACATACATATATTATATAAACAAAAACCTTTATTTTGGATGCGATGTATTTATGTGCTATTTTCATAAATATATGCATGCATGTGTGTGTATTTATATATACATAAATATACGTAGTACACATATAATGTAAACAAAATTTTATTTTGGATAAAAAGTAAAAACTTTTTGCGATTAATCGCAATTAAACATTTGACAGCACTAATATATATATATATATATATATATATATATATATATATATATATA